GATGCTAGACTCCTGGTTCTAGACTCCTGGTGCTAGACTCCTGGTACTAGACTCCTGGTTCTAGACTCCTGGTGCTAGACTCCTGGTTCTAGACTCCTGGTGCTAGACTCCTGGTGCTAGACTCCTGGTACTAGACTCCTGATGCTAGACTCCTGGATAGACTCCTGGTGCTAGACTCCTGGTTCTAGACTCCTGGTGCTAGACTCCTGGTACTAGACTCCTGGTGCTAGACTCCTGGTGCTAGACTCCTGATGCTAGACTCCTGGTTCTAGACTCCTGGTGCTAGACTCCTGATGCTAGACTCCTGGATAGACTCCTGATGCTAGACTCCTGGATAGACTCCTGGTGCTAGACTCCTGGTGCTAGACTCCTGGTTCTAGACTCCTGATGATAGACTCCTGGTGCTAGACTCCTGGTGCTAGACTCCTGGTTCTAGACTCCTGGTGCTAGACTCCTGATGCTAGACTCCTGGTGTTAGACTCCTGGTGCTAGACTCCTGGTACTAGACTCCTGGTGCTAGACTCCTGGTGTTAGACCCCTGGTGTTAGACTCCTGGTGTTAGACCCCTGGTGCTAGACTCCTGGTGCTAGATCCTGGTTCTAGACTCCTGGTGCTAGACTCCTGGTGCTCGACTCCTGGTGCTAGACTCCTGGTGCTAGACCCCTGGTGCTAGTGACAGAATGTGGGCAACACGTTCTTCTCCACAGCCGCGCGACCTCTGAGTCAGACATCACTTCCCCCTTTTCTATCCTACGGGTACAGCCGTACAGCCCCTCCCCCTGAACCCTGTTGTAACAACATAATACACTTTTTGGGGATGCAGCTTGGGATGTGAGGACATGGCTTAGAAAGGGCGTGTCCATTGCTTGGTAATGGAACAAAGTGCATAGGGATACTCTTTTGTGTCAGGGTTGCTGGCCTTGTTTTGCAAAACTGTACTGGAGCAGGGATTGAGAATTCAAGTTTGAGGTTATGTCTGATATAAAATATTAGACGACATTTAACTAGTTATATTGTTATCCATTGTTACTAACATTCAGAAGTGCTTTAAGCAAAGGGTGTTATTAAGTTAATAGATTCTGGTGTGAGAGGAATTATTCTAACGTGATTTGTTATGCATTGCTCTCGTTCCATCGTGGGTCCTGAAACAATCTATAGCTTCAACAGCACCAAGGGGAGGCCACATTAAGCCAACTGCTGCACCCACTGGCACAAAAGCAGGTGAGAAATCCCTGATATGATCCAGCATTTATTTTATTTACACTTTTCCTATGACATTTCAAATTCATATGTCATAGAGGTGAATGTTTAAAAAGCATGTTCTGTAGTGGGCTAGAAAAAACCCGAACAGCTTGGAGGGTGACTACCAGAACAAGGTCAAATCTTTGGAGAAGGAGGATTTGAGAGTGACTGATCTGGAGAAAAGTGTGGCGAGGACAAGGACCACTGCATTCAAATATTTTACTTTCATCATAATGTGGTTTATAATTTGTCTTTTTACACACCATTAAATGTCCTTCGCTTTCTGTGATTATTTTGTTTTCTTTAGTCAGTATCAGGAGTCCGGGAGGAGTTGGAGAAGGTGTCCATTGAGAAGCGTTCTCTTGGACAGCAGCTCCAACTTGGACGAACAATCCAATCATGGAGACTCTCCGGGAGAGCCAGGAGACAGAGCTGCAAACTCTAGTCTGCTGCTGGAAAAGCAGCTAATACTGGCTGCTTCCCGCTGCATCCCAGGTGCCAGCTGAAGGCACAGGTGGTGGATTTTGGGGTGACGAGTGTCACCCCAAATCCTAACCACTCATCCTAACCATCTGTGTCCAGGTTCAAATACAGGGTAAAAGTGGGGGATGACTGGTACCCAGAAGCCAGTGGGCCCAGTAAAAAGGCTGCCTGCTGGCTGGCAGCAGAGTAGGCCATGAATGTCCTCAAGGTGAGGACTCGGAAGCAGAGAATAAACTCAAGTTCTTTATATAGGAGGGAAGAGAAGGGCTTTGCACATCTTCAAAATGAGTATAATGTCTTTAGAAAACTAGCAGGTCGCCCTGGAGGCTGAAATAAATTATGGTGTGGCCTCTGTCACGCTGTTCTGCTCAATTTGCTCAATTCTGTTCAAATCTCTCCTTCTTCCTGCGCCCTCTCCCCTTGGGCCAGAGTGCCTTTCTTCCAGAGAGGGTGTTAAATTGAGAGAGAGGGGAAGACACTGCCTGAAAACTTCTGCGAGCTCGGGTTTCGAACCCACCTACTAGCTACTGTAGTGACAACTCCTGTCATTTATTGCATCTCTGCGTGAAATTAGACAATTTCACCTAAATGAAATCAAATGAAATGATGTTGATTTTGTCTTTCCTTCCTCTCCAGATGACTCTGCACCACCTGCAGCTGACCCTCAGAGACAGAGGAAGAGGTCCGTTCTCTGCAGACACCGCAGAAGGACGAGCTTCATGCTGGTGGGGTGGAGCTTTGGGGAAACGCTCAACTCGCTGAGGTTTGCCAGCAAGCTAAGTGTCAAAACTTCACTATATTAATGCTCTGATGTGTAACTCTAGATCAAATATATTTTAGGGTATGTAATGTTCTGAGGAACCTATGTTTTCTTATATGGTTTTGTCATCAGCATGTTCTCCGAGTTATTTCACACGTGTTTGTTAAAGATCAATTAAAATACAGTAGTTCTTGAATAGACCCAAATGTATCGGAGATTTCTTTTTGAAAGAAATCTTGTTTTAACAAAATTACTCTGGAAATTCATTTCTAGCCATAAAAAGAAAAGGGAAATTAAAGTGAAGTTATTAAAAGAATGAATAAGTAAAAATAAAGAGAAATAATAAACAAGTACATTTTAAATGGGGATATTTTACGTGAAATAAGTAAAAGTATTGTAATATAAAGAGAGAAATTAACTAATTGAATGGGACAAATGTAAAAAGGGATAAGAATAAGGAAGAAAAGAGGATAAAATAAATACTTGGTAATCTTTTGCAAAAAAATACTATTTAAATATCAGCAGAAATACATTTAAAAATAAAAATGCTTTTCGTTATTCTATATCGAGTCTTATTTGGCTGTCATTACTTCACATGGAACACTTATTGTGTTACATTATAGATGTTTTGTCACTGACGTCACCACCTTCAAAAAACTCACCTCTTCAATATTGCTTGATTTTAATTTGACTTTAACTATTTATTTGTTCTTTTCTCTAAAAGCGCTATCAAAATAAACCTTTATTTTGTTGCGTTCTCTCTCTTCACAGGTGAACGACTGATAGGAACTGCAAGTGCCAACAAAAAATTGAGGAAAAAGCTCCGTTATATTTGAACCATTATGTTTTGAAAGAATGAAACATGTTTTCTGTGTTTGACTTACTCATTGCTCATCGCTATCATCGCCACCAGTACAAACCAAATCTAGAATCCTTCTGTATATTCTCAGGGCTTTCTTTAGAGGTGACTGAAGCAACCTTTTAAACATTGTTATAGTCCCAAGTAAATTAAGCGGATGTTTGTGATTTAACATACAGCTCTCAAGGGTTCTTAGGATCTCCAGTTGAGATATGTACCTACTACCTTCATGGACTTAAATAACCTACACTCTAAAAAACGATTCATGGGGTTAGTAGATTCCACTTAAAAAAAATACTTTTTTTTTTACCTCAACTCATTTTAATAAATCGGTCAAACTGAAAAAGAACAAGACAAAATGCAACTTAATATCGCTCCATCTTTACGATTAAAATGAAGTTGGTTCAACTTAATTTCGTTTTTAAAGGTGAAAGCAAATTATGTTTGTAGTACTGAACTAATTGAGTTAATCCGATTATAAATGGGTACTCGGATTAACTTAATCGATCAAATTGGAAATACTTAAGATCAACGCAAATTGTTACCTCAATTTATTTAACTAGAGCCGTCGTATTTTCTTTTTTTAAAGTGTATATTTTAGTTTATATGTGGAGCTTCTTGCACAAATTCTTTCTTTTGTCAAACCAATACTGTAATTTTTTTTGCTGATATTGTGGAGTTCTATCTCTCTAGCCACATGCTATAATAAAGACACCAGTAGATGGGCTACCTTTTTATTTCCTGTGTCTGTTCATTCCAAACTATCTTTGCTAATTTTTTCTCCAACATAAAGCATGTCAAGGCATTTTTCTCAATTTATCTAAACCTAAAGTTTAAATGACTTTGTTTTACTGACTTTAGTATCATTTAACTGTGACATGCTGGTCCTCTTGCTAGTTGCCTTTTGGGTAGTGCTTACCCAACTCTTAAATCACAACATGAATAGGTTTAAGAGAAGTTTGTCATGACCAATGTCGTTTTTAGACTTCATATTAAAGTGGGATGGATGTTTTCCACTTAACTGGAAAAGAAGATGCACTTTAGTTAAATACTTTACGTTACATTATTTCTTGTGTGTATAATTTGAACAGTAGATGGGAAAAAAGATAATGGAAATGAAATGCTGCATATTCTACAGCATATTGGCAATGTGGTTATATCCATCACATTACAGTTTGTACTCACTATTTTAAATAATCCTTTCTTCCATTACTGTTATACACTTTAACGCTGTATTCCAATGTTTATTTCCCATTGTTTATTGGATGTATTTTCTGTCGGCCAAAGTCTGGCTCGTCTGTCTGGAATCCTTTTCACACACAAAGGAAATATTACTTAGGAGCTCATAGTGCCTCCCATTGTGTGTGTTAGAGAAATGGCTCTATAGTTGTTGGATATCCATTTGGGGCTATACAAATATGTTTTATGCATATTAATTGATAAGGAAATTAACACATTCATAGAGCTTCTCATAGCTGAAAGGGGGTCCCCTGGCGTCCACATTTTGTATTTACGCACTTGCGTGGATCAAAATAAGAAGTTGCGCACGCATCCGTCGCCATTTTTGAAAATCAGGAGGTGTGCGCCATCTGGTCCACAACAACCTCCTCAATTTTTGTTTAATTTAATCGCTTTCTACAAGTACTTTGTCCACGAATGGCTAAGCGAAACATGCATCAAGCGACCATGCAAAGCAGTAATTCCCCCCAACCAGCTTTACGCACCACCGACTCCCCGGAGGAATCACCGGGGAACAAAGACAGTCCAGAGCCGAAGGAGGAGCTTTCTCCTGGGGCCGAACTAGCAGAAGAAGCCGTGGAAGGAAGCGAGGAACCCCGGGATGAAATGACCCTGGATATCAACAGCTTTAGGAAGCCTGGAGAGAAGACTTTCACTCAGAGATCCCGGCTTTTTGTGGGGAACCTCCCGGTGGATATCCCCGAGGAAGAGTTCAAAGATATGTTTGCTAAATATGGAAATATCAGCGAGGTGTTTATCAACAGAGAGAGGGGCTTCGGCTTCATTCGCTTGGTAAGTCCTTGTGATTTGAAGTGTGTGTTGGAGTGATTCCTGTTATATGTTTCTCCACAAATAATCATGCAAAAGCCCCACTTTAAATCATGTGTTTGCCATTGATAAGATAATTGGAAATAAGCGTGACAAAACATTTACTGACTACAGAAATATTTTTGATTCAAAGGCTTTGTTGTCATATGCATAGTAGCTAGAGTGTAGATATGGCAATGCAAATCCCAGGCTACTCCAATAACGCAACATTCAAATATACACACAATAAAGAACAAAAATAAAACTGCAAGAGAATGTTCCAAATGAATGTGCAGGTAAATGCGTAAGAAGTCGACTATATGCATAATAGAATAGAATAACAAGAGGTCAAAAAAACACTGCTACTAATATTGTAGTAAAAATACATATGTGGAATGCAACCAGATGCTTATTCTAAGACTAAAAGGAGACTAAGAGAGGGCAGCCCTTTTTGAATACAGAAAGTTGTGCAAGTTTTGATACAACGATGCAGATTCTGGACTGTCAGATATCTTAAAGTTTAAACGACTATTTATATATTTATCATTCAGCCCTAATTGAAAACTTAACGTGCATCACTGAGGTATCATCAACCTTTTTTTCTTGTATCTCTTCCAGGAAACACGGACACTAGCAGAGATTGCTAAATGTGAGTTGGATGGGACTGTGATGAACAATCGACCAATCAGGATACGCTTTGCGACACACGGTTCTGCACTCACTGTACGCAACCTGTTACCTGCAGTGACCAATGAGCTGCTAGAACAGGTAGGACAAGAGTTTCAACACTTCAGAAATTCATTTAGATTAGGATGTGTGTCAATCTTACTTCTGCAGAATCGATGAAGCCCTTTCTTCTACCATCAGGCGTTTTCTGAGTTTGGGCCGGTGGAACGGGCTATCGTGGTGACGGATGACCGCGGTCGTCCCACTGGGAGAGGCATCGTGGAGTTTGCAAACAAAGCAGCTGCACGAAAAGCTCTGGAGCAATGCACAGAGGGAGCGCTGCTGCTGACCAAGTGAGGAGTGCAGGACTGCATTTCTTTAAACAAAATCCATGCAGAAGCATTTATTAAATTGATGCACAATCCTATAGCTCTAATCCAAAACCTGACCATCGCTTTCTTGTAACATCACAGGATTCATTTAGTGTTGTCTTGCCTTTCTTCAGCACACCTTGTCCAGCCATTGTGGAGCCCTCGGAGCACTTTGATGATGAGGATGGACAGCCTGAGAAACTGCTGCACAAGACCGCAAAATACTATAAGTAAGTACAAAGACAAGTTTCTGTTTCATTCAAATGTTCTTAAAGGTGGGGGAGGTAGTTTTGGAGAAACCGGCTCGAGTGCGCTAGAATTTGAAAATACACTTCCTCACAGAGCCCCTCCTCCAACACACAGGAACACACACATGACCAATGAGGGCACGAGATGAGTTTGTGCCCAGATGGAAGGCTGACAGGCAGGTAGGCCATCCAGTTACTTTAGCCGGCTCAGATGATTGGTCGAGCTTTTTACAGCGCTACGGCTTCCACAGATTTTTATGGATTTTTTGTCAAAGCACTTCAGATATTCATTGCTATCGGGATGTTAAGAGCATTCCATGGAATATAACAACAAGTGTATCTCGAGCCGGTTTCTCAAACGTACCTACCCCACCTTTAAGTCTGTTTTACTGGTGTTTGTTAGTAGAACAAGGCACGTGGTTGTCTGTCAGTATAGCATAGAGTTATTCTCTCCTTCCCCCTAGGGAACGAGAGCTGAAGCCACATTTTGCTCAGCCGGGGACTTTTGAGTTTGAATACTCGTCTCGCTGGAAAGCCCTTCATGAGATGGAGAAACAGCAGAAAGAGCAGGTGGACAAGAGCATAAAGGAGGCCAAAGAGAAGCTGGAGGCCGAGCTGGAGTCGGCCAAACACGAACACCAGCTCATGATGATGAGACAAGGTAGGGGCTGTGAAGCTGCCGTCATTCATGCATGTTGTCCTTCTGTTTTGATGCTAAATGTGATTTTTGTGGCCTCTTCCAGATCTGATGAGGCGCCAGGAGGAGCTGAGGAGGCTGGAGGAGCTTCGCAACCAGGAGCTGCAGAGACGACAGCAGATAGAGATGAGGTGTGCTCCCTTTCTTTCTCTACATCCATACATACATGACGATCTCTTACTGGTGTGCCGCAGAACAGTCTCTGAGCTACACAGACAGGCAGATTGTTTGATTTGATGTGTCTTTATTCTGTGTGGTTGCAGGCATGAAGAGGAGAGGAGGAGGAGAGAGGAGGAGGCGATGAGGCACAGAGAACAGGAGGAGCAGAGACGTCCAGCAGAGGGATTCAAACCAAACTACCCGGACAACGTGAGTACATCTGGATCACAAACAAACACGCTTAGAAACACACTGACGTCTAGTTACTAGTGCTGTAGCGACGCGTCGACTTAAAAATATCGTCGACGACATATTTCCGCGTCGACGCGTCGCTACACACGCTACACACACGTGGGTCACCCAAAGCAAAGCTGCAGAGCCTAGACCGGAAGCAGCAGCTAGCTGTGGTGGCTACCATTAGCAGCTAGCATTTGCTCTCCGATTTTTACATAAAAATTGAATTATGGATTATAAATTCAATCATTTTTTTATACATAGACGTTAAAAACCTATGGATTAACCGATTCAGCCGCGTTTTTTCTCATTGTAATGCCATTGAACACGTCTTTTGATCAGATTGACAGCTACGGTGGTGAGACGATCTCCCTAGAAGCTGTCGGTACGTGTTGTGATGACTGTATTTGCTTCCCCTGTCGCGAGTCCGGATCACTCAGTGATGATACTATATACCTACATAATCTGTGGAGTCTCAGCTTTAATCGGATATATTGTAAGTGCAGCTACGATAAGTAATAAGGGTACTTTTATCTTGAGTTCTGTGCCAATGTCCGTTAGCATTTTTCGCTCAAGGGTCATTTAGATGCTTCTTGTGAGACTTGTGTTTTGTTTTGGTAAACATGGTTTGTATCGTCAGTTAGCTGAGATTATTCCCGTGAATCTGGTATAACACATTAATAGGTTCTTAAATATTAAGATCCCCTGAGACACAGTATCGTGAAAAAAATTTTTTTTACATTAAGTTTATTTTACATTACGTTTTTTATGAATTGAACAACAGAAAAATAATCGTTCGATTAGTCGTTTTCAAAATAATCGTTTCCCCCCAGCACTACTAGTTACACTTTCATACCTATAGAACAAACCTGCAATCAGGAATAATAACAAGAGGTCAGGTTGATGATTTAAATATTATACACACACTGCGATGAAGAATTATTGGTAGATGTCATTAAAACAATAACATGTTCTGTGAAATATCTGTGCCTTGCAAGTCCTGCATTTTCACAGAATGATAATTATATTAAATCAGAGCAAAGGGCAATCAGTTTAGTGTAGAAAATGTATATTCTGTAACCGTGTGAGTGTTGCTGGTAGCTTCTCAGTTGGAGAGTTATACCTTTAGCAGCGTTTTGTTCTGAAGGCTCTTCTTCACTTCCTACAGAGAGAACAGGAAATGAGAGGAGGTGAACTGGGCCCTCGTGGAGCCGCTAATATGGGAGGTACGTCATATTATAAACACCAGATAATGAAGTGACGACATAATGTCATATTTGAACTCATTTGTCCTGCATCCCAAGTGGCTCCTAGACGCACATTTGGTGTGCATGGACTCACATGGGATGCAATGCAAAAGACAACAAATCATCACATAATGTCTACACAATTGCATATGTCGCACTATAAGTGAGAACTTGTCGTTATTAATAGCTGTCTAGTTTATCTATCTGAAGTGTTACCCTCAATATACATTTTAACATAATACACTAGCTGTTGACTACTTTTTAAATATAGAATACCTTACCCACAATTCCCACAAACCAACCAATGCTGCGTTGTTTTGCGTGTAGATGGCTATAACCAGGGCTCTCCGGGGGCCAATGGTAACCAGGGTCAGATGATGGGAATGAGTGGAAGGGGAGCAGCCATTGGCCAAGAGGGAACGGCAAATATGGGGTCGCCATTGATGTCGGAGAACGGAGCAATGGTAATGTATCAGGAAACAAAATGAGCATATTAAAGCTGCTTTCTTTATAGAGTAGCATTGCCTCGAACACTGGAACAAATGCTGCTCCAAAAACAAGTTGTTTTCACTTGAAATAAGTACAAAAATCTGCCAATAGAACAAGTACAAATTAGCTTGAAATAAGAAGGGATATTTAGATAAATCAGATCTTGTAATTAGCTAGGAGAACTTATTTTGAACTATATCTTACCAGGATCAGGAAATGTTGTGTTACAATATAAGTTAGTTGGTGATTTTCCAATAAATATGTAAAAAAAAACAAGTTTAATCTGAGATACAACTCAAAATATGATTTTTTTGACTTAACAAGATGATGCATTGTCTAACCCGATATCTCACTGCAGAGTTACTTCTGAAGTTATCATGTCTTATATCAGGTGTAGAGACATATTCTGACTAGATATTAGACAGATATACTGGGCAAGATTTCGAGTTGTTGTAGTGTAATGATGGATAAAGAGTGTTTAATTTAACTTCTAAGGCTTTCCTATAAAAGTTATTGTGGACAAAACTACTGCAAAATACCTGTATTTGTAAAAAAAACCTTTATTGAGTTGAAAGCACTTTGTCTAATTTACCTGTAGACTTAACTAATGGCCTTATTCCTCTCTTTTTGTCTGACTTGTTTTGCTCTCGGACGCCGACACTCGGATCCAAACCCGATGTTCTGATGTACGGCGAATCACGTTTTCTTAACACTTAAAAACCTCAGCGGAACGATAGGTTTCCGCAGGGAGGACAAATAGGGGGTCGACCAGAAGTTGAGTCCCCAAATCAGCCACAACAACAACAACAGCCAGTGGGCCCTCAGGCTTTTGAAGGACCAAATAACAAACGACGCAGATACTAACTCTTCCCAAACATAGAGACAATTTCCTTTTGTGACTGACATAAAGCCAATCCTATTTCTCCGTTTCCACTCCACCCCCGTGGGAAATGTTTCACCAACAAAATGCACATATTTCTCACTAAAAGGCTTCTATTTTGTGGATGAAATTCTTTTTAAAGACAGCATATGTTTTCTGAATGAGACAGTTGGTGCTGTTTTGTCTGCTGAATCTTAAATGTATTTAAAAGTATTTTTCAAGAAGGTCCTTCGTGGGAAGATGAATGCTATCGTTGCATTTGAAAAGACATTAGAAAACAAGATTGCTGACATTTTAAGTGTAATATTATGGCGCGTTTCCACTGCAGGCCTCGCTCGGTTTGGTTAGGCCTTATTCGGCCCGGCTCACTTTAATGCTGCGCTTCCATTACAGTTTAGGAACTGGGGCAGTTACTATAGTAACGCAGTGTAGGCGGAGCCGTGACGTCATCTTCAATGAGCGCCCCAGAAAAACAACACAGCCGTTAGCTGTTAGCACTCAGAGCTCACAGCTCCTCATATCTGTTCAGAAACTAGACAACAGTTAAACAAGTACAAACCACAGACTGCCTGTGTCATGGCGAATACAGTCGCTGGTTTATTTATGTCTGTATAGGCCGTTGTTGTGAGTGTGGACGGTCGGAGCATATAACGTTAGCTTAGCCAAGCTCCATTTAGAAAACACGCATTTTAAAAGGGTTTTTCGCCTGCCGTCTGTCTGCAGACTCGTCAAAGCATTAATTCATGGTTTTTACTAACCGGTATCAGTATGTTGTTACTTCGGCATCATTTTGAAACGTGTATTACAATTAAATCACGGTCAAATATGTTCATGTTGTTGTAGTTGTAGCCCCCTTGCCAGCGATTCTCTCTCTAGTTTAGCATACTCAGCCCGACTCAGCCTGGTTGTTCCTGGCCCTAGAACCACCATTTAGTCGGGCCAGGAAAAAGGTGAAAAAGTAGCCCCGGGCCAAAAATAGGCCAAGTGGAAGCGCAACCAAAAACGGGCCCCGCACGGCTCGGCACGCTTAAAGCGAGCTACCCGCTGCAGTGGAAACGCGCCATTAAACACATACTGTGACTCTAATTAAATGTTCAATCATACAGTGAGTGAGTGTTTATACAGCTTTGGGGAATCCTGTATTTGATGGTTATGAGTAATAAACCATTTGTGGGAAATTCTGTCTCTTTTTGATTGGAAATAATTGTGATTTCTTAACTGTAAATAAGCCAAAATCCTAAAGTCAAACCCCCTTACACTTAACCCTTTTCATATGTTTGGAAAGTTGGATCCGGTCAGTTCAGATCTGGATGAATGTCTGAATATAAAATATGTTTTGTACTGTAATTTACTTTATATAGCATACTGTGGCCTAATGTGTTTCTGAAATGGAAATAGAAGCCACTGCGAGTTCAGTTTATCACAAAATATGTTTAACTATCAAGAAACTTTATTTATTAAATGGACAAGTAGAAAAAAACCCTCAATTTTCAAGCTTCTGAGTCTTTTTTTCTTTTGAGTATTTGCAATAAATTGTCTCTGATTCTTAAAGTTCCACCTTTTAAATTGTAGAAAAAAACATTTGACATCTTGATAGTGACGATGCAATCTGTTTTTCCACTGGACCTGGAACGTTTAATATAACCTAAATGGTTTTCACGGATTCTAAGGAAGAGGTAATTACATTTCATTGAATGTCTTCCTCTTGTGTGTTTGCATAGTAACACACTCACGTCTGTCTTTCTGTGTATCTAAGTGTGTGTGACAGATACAGGAGAATATTCGGGGAAATTCAGAGCAGTTTTGTGTTTATTTGTTTTGCGTTTCAAGCAACAAGTCGATGTTTGTGTTTAAGGCATGTATTTCATTTCAAACCTTTATTTAGACAGATAAATCCCATTGAGATCTGTCTAAATAAAGGTTTGAAATGAAATACATACATGATACATATGGAAATCATAGCTTTGCGTGCATCAAGCATTCAGCAGAGTTCACTCCACTGTAATAATTGTTCCTTCTATTTCCTGGAATCAATATTAATATGTTGTGATTGCTAAAATGTGACCTGTGTCCCCTGATGAACCAGTGTATTTGTTACTGCTGATTCTGCCTGTCCCGTTTCATTATAATCTGCACATTTACTTCAGAGGCTTTTTGATATAATAATTTATACGATGCCACTTTCAATTTGATTCTCAGTGTTGCAGAATATTTGTTTTTAAATTGTTTTATGTCTCGTCTCTTATACGCCCTAAGGGAGTCCTGCATCCGGTGAAAAAATAGGTAAATACACAGATAAACAGACACACAGTATGTCCACAAGATGGATTGGTCCATTGTATTATATTTGTTATGTTAGGCTTCATGACCGAAAGAACGAGATCGCGGATACAAGCGGTCGAGATGGGTTTTCTCCGCAGGGTGGCTGGCGTCTCCCTTAGGGATAAGGTGAGAAGTTCGGTCATCCGGGAGGGACTCGGAGTTGAGCCGCTCCTCCTTCGCGTCGAAAGGAGCCAGTTGAGGTGGTTCGGGCACCTAGTTAGGATGCCACCTGGGCGCCTCCCTAGGGAGGTGTTCCAGGCACGTCCAGCTGGGAAGAGACCAAGGGGTAGACCTAGGACCAGGTGGAGGGATTATATCTCTTCGCTGGCCTGGGAGCGCCTTGGGACCCCCCAGTCAGAGCTGGTTGATGAGGGGAAAGGAACGTTTGGGGCTCTGCTGGAACTGATACCCCGAGACCCGACCACGGATAAGCGGGAGAAGATGGATGGATGTTGGGGTTCTTTGCACCTGATCTTATAAAAGGTTAAGTTGCTCCTGGTTCCATAAACATAGACGGTGACGTTCTGCTTTATCGGCATTTCAGTAGAGACAGAGTTGGTGAGTCAGCACCTAACTCTCAGTAGGATTTATATGATCAAATAAAAATGATAGTGACCATAGAGAGAACATTTTTGGTTAAGATGATATAAACATCCCATGCTTTTGTAGATCTGTCTTTCCTCTCCTATTAATACAAATTACAAATGACATTAGATGCTGTTACAGTGAACTTAATCAGAACCTGAAACATAAGATATGTTAATTGGGTCATGTCGTATTGATGTACAAATATATGTCGTAGTAAGATTTACTTTCTTCCTGGCTTTCTGGTCCACACAGAAGAACCTGTAATATCTTTGTGTTGTAACATTAAACAAAAACCCAAGGTTAAAAATATGGGTGTTTATAATATACCAGTATTAACAAGAAGGGTGATAAATATGATAGTAATGCACATATAATATTCCAGTGCCTCGTTTTCTTTTGCAAGTTGCCTCTCTTCAAAGCTATTGTCACAGTCTCTCTCAGCTTGTGTTTTGTTTGTGTACAATTTGACATTTTAACTGATGGCATTCTCAGCTTTAGGGGTGGAAAGACCGTGTTTGTAGCGGGACGTTTTGGATTCGACGAAGGGGGGCGCGCTGCTTTTCTTTGCCATGCCCAAGGCTGCTCATTACCAACACGAGGGAAGGTAATCATTGAAGTGATCCACTTTTAACGGGGCTGATTGTGGCCAATTTGGGGAATGAATACTCCACGTCTTCACTTTCTGGCCTTGTTCTGCTTTAGCCCAGTTTGTGGCCCACTTTTCCAGAAGGACCATCGATTTTGGGGCAACAATCCTTGGTCCTTTTGTGTTTCCTAACTACATTTTCCTTGGATATGGTCTTACATTCATGTTATTATAAAACAGCGGTAAAAAGAAGTTTGGTGACGCAGATATCATTAGCTATGCTCCAAAGCTATGGAACAAAATACCTGTAGACATCAGGGAAGCCAGCTCGGTGGAAGTCTTTAAACTCAAAACACATTTGTACAATTTAGCCTTTGAGGAAGCAAACTCCTGCTCTCTGCTGCACTTTCTCAATGCATTGCATCTTGTACCTTTTAATCTAAATGTCTACTCAATTTTAAGTTTGTCTTTATGTCTCCTACTGGTATCTGTATTCTGTTTGATATCAATGTTCTGTGAAATGTCTATGTGAAGCACTTTGGACTGCACTCAGTATGCAAGGTGCTATTCAAATAAAGATTATTATTATCCAACTAGTTACAGCTTTGGAACATTAATATCTGCGTCACAGATCAAAGATCTCTCTGTAGAGTTAATTGAAGGATAATCACTTATTTTATGTTGTGAATGTGTCCTACATTACAACCTTTTGGCCTACATTGCAGTCACACTGAATCTAATAATGTGGCTTCAGCCTGCAGCTAATCTGATCACCGTCCAAATAACTTCTGCTAGAACAAGTTCCCAGGATTCCTTAGTTTGTGCATATAGTTTAACTGTATGTGTAAATAAAAGTAGGTCAACGTATTAATGCCCAATATGTTAAACAGACTGTGGTCAGGGTTGCCTTTACTGCAAACTGGCTATAAAATTAGATTGTGTTCATGCTACTGTCTATTTTTTATTACGTCCTTTATTGATTTTTGTTTTTTTTATTTCACTACACCAAGAGAAGCCATGCAGATGTAGCTTTACCGGAGTATATTGAACTATTATTTGGTTCTAAGGATCATTTTAAAAAGAAATAATATAAGTTTGGCATTTGTTTTAGGACAGGGGGAATATGTTTCTCTTAAGAATGATTCTGAGCAATGTTTTTGAAGAATCTACTCTACTCTTGTTTCTGCTAATAGACAACAATGATTTGCAGATTGAACCATAAATAATGTTTTACTGCTGTTGGACTTCTTAATACAACGTAATCCCCAAAGCACACAGCTACTCTCACCCAATAAACCTTCTTTTGCCCGGTTTGTTTTCGGATACATCTGATTGCCCTGCAGATTGAATGGAGCCAAAAATAGACGCACGTATGTTTTGCAGCGTACTGGCACCGCCTCCATTCGGTGCGTAAAGACGCATTAGGAGGGTGACACAAATATATCTGATAATCCAGACAGCAGGAGGTGCTTTTAGTTACAGCACAACCTTCCACTGAAGGAGATACGTATGTTTTGATTTTTTTTTAAACTTATTTTCCCTTCCTCGCTGATCACGTTTTCCATTTTACGCGCAGGCTAAAAAAGTTTCCGGTGATTTTGGGATGGTTCGTTTCTCCCGGAGAAGGAGCACATTAATGGGATTCTTTTCCCCGCTGAATCACCTGAGGGCCGCCGGACAGTGAGTGTCTGGAGGCTGATGGACGACATGTCTCCGCAGCAGCAGCAGCAGCAGCAGGAAAACACACGGGTATGTCGATCGACGTCACTAACACATAGTAATATAGTCATGGGTTAACATGCGCATTTCGTCATTTATTTGCGTTTAATATGAGTGCACATTATGTCATTAATACATTTTAATATGTAGTCATGGAACATGCACTTTTCCTAATCTATTTGCGTTTAATATGAGTGCACAACTCCAGACAACATGTACAAGTTAGCTTCTTTATATTTGTTTACCTATACAATAGCTAACCAGTTGTTATTAGAATAAAAATGTCCTTAAAGTAACTGAAATATGAATGGGTGCTTTGTCCTATGTGCCTCCATAAAGATACTCAAACAAGTCAAATAGTCCTTAGGATAATGATGTACATAATAACAAATAACAACCATAAACCATGTTACTTAATTCTAGTGCATTATTAAGTGTCTTATATTCAAATATTCAACTTGTTATTTTAGGCATGAAACTGCACTTGTGAGCAACACAATCAGAATTCAATCAAACCACATTAGAAAGCATTTAATAATGACTATTTTCCATCAGTATATTATAGTTTTGATGGTTGTTAACACATAATAATCATTTTAGATTGCAGTCAAATCTATTGCAGTCATGAACAATGTGTACTATAACCAGATACATCATGAACAGGGTGTTTAAAGTGCATCGGTTAAGCAAACATGAAAATCCTTTACATGCTTTCAGTAGGTGTGTTTCCCTACATTAACCCTCGCTGTGAGTTCATGTTAGTTTATTCTAAGGACTGAAAGGTATATGTTGTGGCTGCAGAGTGAGGAATGTCTCACCACCGTGTGACCCTTGCTAAATCAATGATATTACACTGTAAAATGTCCAAAAATGTGTGGAGATTGGATTGATCTTTTCTCACTGTGGAGCTTTTGATTCTGTAAAGTTAGTGACTTTAATGTCATGCGTTCAGACTGAAATGTCTCCACAACATGGATCACAATGTTCATGTTCCTCTAAGGATACATTTGAATAACATTGGGTTTTATTTAGTGCAACAATAATGACAAACACTTACACATGGCTATTGGTTTGGCTTTATCCTCCTGAATTGCGTCATGGCACAACATGCAGAACAATGAAAAGCATTTTTACCTAAACGCAATTTGTATTTAATCTTATTTTACTTCCAGTTGTTCTTGTTATAGTTTATTAATCAGCATTACTTATTATCACTTTTTTAATTGATTATAACATTTAGTATTCATGTTTCTTGTGGCCTTGAATTGTTGTTATTTATTGCTTTTAATTGCTGATATTGCAAGGGACGTCTGTACCTTAATGTATTTAAGAGTTCAAATGAAATTAAGTTATACATGAAATAGGAAAGAAATGCCTCAAAGTACATCTTAAAAAGTGGATTACCTGTCTTATCAAATGACTATACTAATCATGATAAGTATTAGGTGACCACAGAGTGTGTTAATCGGACACACGTTGAAATAACAATTATGTAATCAGTCACCT